GATATTTCCAATTGCCTCGTATGCATGTGAGAGCTGGACAATGAATAAGGAAGACCTAAGAAGAGTTGATGCTTCTGAGTTGTGATGCTGGCGGAGAATGCTGAAAGTACCATGGACTGCTAAAAGAACTAACAGATCTGTCCTGGAGGAAGTGCACCCAAAGTGCTCCTTAGAAGCAAGAATGGCCAGCCTTCATCTCACCTATTTTGGTCATGTTGTAAGAAGGGACCATTCCCTGGAGAAGGATGTCATGCTTGATAGGGTAGAGGGTCGATGAAAGAGTGGGGGAGGCCTTCAACGAGATGGATTGACATGGTGGCTGCGATGATGGGCTAAAGTATAGCTAGCAGGAATCATGGAGCTGGCACGGGATCGGGCAGTGTGTCGTTCTGCTGTGCATGGGGTCGCCATGAGTCGGAAACAACTGGACAGCACCTAACAACAAACAATAACCCATGCACTATCCTTTCAGTCCATAAGAAAATTGCCTCCTATCTGAGAAGAAAGCCTTCTTCCCCGCCTCCCAGCACCATGTGAGGGGCCACACAGAGTGGAGGTGCTTTATGAAAAAGAAGGAAAAAAGAAAGAATCCATTTCCCTTCAAAAATAGTTGTTGGAGACCTCCACACAATCGATTTTTGAGGAGTTTGCTAATTTCCTCTCTATTGTAGGCTCAGCGGTGCAGATGGTTAATGTGTTGGGCTGCTCACCGAAGTTAGAGGTTCAAATCCACCCAGAGGCATCTCGGAAGAAAGGCCTGGTGATCCACTTCCTGACAATCAGCCTTTGCAGACCCCACGGAGCATAGTTCCGCTCCGACATACAGTCAGCACTCACTGCATGGCAACTGTATTCTTTGTTTTTAATTCGTTTTAAGTGTTCCATGTCTTTGTAGAACCACATACCCTCATCCTTTTGGCCTCAAGTTGATATTTATTTTAAAATAAGGTAATTTATCAGAAGCTTTGGGGATGTCCCTCCCCTCTTCTCAGGTGGCCAGCAGCTGAGAGCCGCTAGATGCTGTGGAAGTGTCTCCTGAGGGGGAGCCAGCCCAGGCCTCTGCCTTGCCCAGTGGAAAGAGCCCTCCTGGGGAAGGACCGGCACCGTTCACAGGGGAGGGGATGTGGGTGTGAGAAGCTGTGGGATTTCCATTGTCACCAAATGTATGCTCTCAGAACTGTCTTTACTTTGTCTTTTGTAAATAGCCTTATTTCGATGAGTTTTAAGATGTCTGTCGTGTTTCTTAAAAACTTGCTAGGACGCACCCACATACTGTATGGAAATGCATCCCTTGGAGCAATTGACCTCGGGCACCGGAGGGGCAACATTCACATGGAGGAAATGCAGGACACCCAGGAGTACATAACTATGAGGGGCGTGGGGGGGGGTTGGTTACTGGGCAGGGAGGGGAGGAGACTGGGTTAGGGTTGGACATGGTAAATGGGGAGTGAAACTAAATGTACACATAATGGTGAATGTAAAACAAAGTCTTAAAATTAAAATTTTTTTTAAAAAAAACCAACTTGCTGGGAAGACATTTTAACATTGTGTCTTTCTCAGTGTGGAGAGGAGCCCTGGTGATGCAGTGGTTAAGCGCTTGGCTGCTAAACAAAATATCTCTGGTTGAAACCCACCATTGGCTTCATGGGAGAAAGATGAGGCAGTTTGCTTCTGTGGAGATCACAGCCTTGGAGATGGGGCAGTTCTGCCATGTCCGGTAGAGTCACTGTGAGCTGGAAATCGATGTGACGGCAGTGGGTTGGGTTTGGGTTTGGGTTTTGGCTGTAGAGGAGTCCCTGAAACGTGCAGACGGTGCTCGGCTCGTAACCAATGATTCCAGTCCACCCAAGGTGCCTTGGAAGCAAGACCTGGAGATCTACTTCCAAAAGATCACAGCCCTTGCAAACCGGGTGGAGGGGAGCACGGCCCTGCTGGGAAGCACAAGGTTGCCAGGAGCTTTTCGTTTGTTTGTTTGGGTGTGGAGATGCCCGAGTGTTGGAAAAGACAGTGGTGGGAATGCAGACTTTGGATTTGGGAGCAACAGCGGAAATCTTTCCCGTTTACGAGCTGGCTGTCTCTCTTCCTCTCTTCCTCTGTGCCTCTTTCTTTGTCAGACAGTGAGCCTGCCTTGCTCATTTCTGATGAGCCTCCCTTTCTCTCCTCAGTCATGCGGAGGAATCCCTTTGGTGTGGACATCTGCTGCCGGAAGGGGTCCCGAAGCCCTCTGCAGGAGCTCTACAACCCGACCCAGGTAAGCCTTGGCAAGTGGCCTGCTTCCGTGGCACTGTCATCATGCCGCGTTTTGGTTTTTGAGTTTTTTGGCTGAAAAATTCCCTGGGGATTTGAAAGTTTCTTTTACTCCCTGCCCTTTGACCTTGAGTGGTTGCTTTCTTAGTTCCCCTTGTTCTGTGTCATGTCTCTGCAATCCCAGTGAGAGGTGTTTAGAATTGGAGCAGTGCCTCAGTTGGGTGCTGGACTAAGCTTTCAGATGTGCCCAGGTTTTGGACACAATCGCAGGTCCCAGCAATGGGACCCTGACATCGAAGAGCTGGCCAGCCTGTCCTGTCTCCCATGAGGCCCCACTGAAGAAGAATTGCACAAAGACAAACTCACCACCCACACTCACATCCCGTTATTCAAGCCGAACAATGCCTCAGCAGCCCCACCTCAACCCTGTCAGGTTGGCAAGACTCCCTTGTGTGCAGGGGACTTTCTGTAAGTCACTGTCACAGTAAATGTGACTCATTAATTCAACAAGGTGGCAAACGTGGCCTCTGTGCCATCGATTATGAAAAGAGCTACCCTTTAAGCTCCAATCAAGGAAAAGTAGGAGAGAAGCTAGGAGGCCTGGTTGCCATGGAAATAGATTCAGTGATGACATGTGTGGGTATTAACGTGGACACTCCAGGGCTGGTCCTTTTGCAGGAACATCAGTTAGCTGGCGAGTGAACAACTGCCAACTTTTGACAGTTGTTGAGAAACCACAAAAAAATTCTTGTTTGGCTATAGTCTCTAGGTTTTATTTTGTATCAAATTCTTAATTTAGTGTTCTGTGGACCAGGGTTCTTGGGGGAGGAAGACAATGCTTGGACATCAAACATGCTCAATTCCCAGAAGTTTTACGAAGGGGTGAACCTGAGAACTTCCTGATCTCACAGCTCTTTCTAATCTCTCACCTGCCCCTGCTTCTAGAAAATGAGTCTTGCGTGTTGTGCATGGTGGGTGGCCTACCCAGGTTAAGTTACCCCTCTCCCACCCCACCACCTTGAGCTCCAAGTGTGACTGGAGCAGAGTAGCCAGGTATTTGCAAACTCAGTCCCTGATTTATGACATATTTGAGTTACAATGAACCACAATTACAACTGTCCGGGTTTTTTTTTTTTTTTTTTTTTTGATACTTCTTATTGTTAGTAATATGTTGCAGTGCATAATTTGCTGATGTTGTCATTCTTAGATGTTCACTTTCTGATCAGTTTTATGATTTACTGTTCAAAACACTGGCATATTTTTAAAGATTCTGATAATAAAAGGCAGTTATAATAATGAAAACAAGAAAAAGGAGGTATTCAACTTACATCAGAACTAATTTATGTTAGAACTAACTTACGACAGGACTGACTTAGGATGGAGTCATTGGAACGAAATCCTGTTGGGAGTCTGGGTCTACCTGTATTGCCTGAGTCTTCCTTTACTGAGCTCCATGGTGACTCAGCAGGGAATCTGATACTTGAGTTTCATTTGGTGTTGGACTGTTTCATCATTGCAGGTGAGTTTCCCAGCTGGTTCACAAACCCCATCCTCAGGAACAGACGGAGCTGGGCTTTGATAAAGGATGGGGCTTCTGGTAAACCATGTTGAAAACAACACACACTACTCACTTGCAAACCATTTGTATACTCTGGGCTCAGATCATTTTCCCCCTTCGAAACAAAACTGCTGAGGTGCTCCAGCCTTCTCGAGAAAGTCTTATGGACGACATATGGTGTCATGGAAAGAGCCCATTCTGGGGCAGCTGCCGGTCTGGACGGGAGGTTTATGGACTGTGCCTGTCTCGTTCACTGTTGCATCCCCAGCACCTTGGGTTATGGCGGATGCCCCCAAATATCCATGGTGGAATGAAGGCCCAGCTTCAAATTCTAGCTTCCCTTCTACCTAGTTGTGCAACCTTACATATATATGAAGAGTCCTAATGAGAGGTCAGTTTTTCCACCTGAAAAATCTCTGGAATATTGGGAGACAAGACAGTCCTTGTTGGGGGTGGTAGAGCTGTGATTAGTCATTATTATGGCCATGCAGGTAGCTTTAATAGCTGAAACCTGCACTTCAGAGCCAGCCTAGGGTCAAAGCCTGTTTCCTCATTTACTAGCTATGTAGCTGTGGGCAAGTTGCTTAACTTCTCTGTGCCTCCTGTCCCTCCTTCATTACATGGTATTAATGGTACCTACCCTGTAGGGTTCTTAGAAGCGATAATGGTGAGACTTCAGTTCACGTACTTTGGACATGTCACCAGGAAAACCAATCACTAGAAAAGGAGACTGTGTTTGGTAAAGGAGCGGGTCAACCATGAGGGAAACCTTCAACGAGATGATGATGCGGGAAGCCCTGAACGAGATGATGAGTACAGTAGCCACGACAGCAGGCTCCAACCTGCTCATGAAGATGGCTCAGGGCCGGGCGACACTCCGCTGTTACACAGGGGCTGATTTCCAGTCATCAAGGTAAGCACAGGCGTACTTGTGCTTACCTACTAGTCTGTAGTAAACCACTTCACATGGGTTTCTCCACATCTTTCACCAGATGGTACTGTCAAAAAGGTCACCATGAGTTGGAGCCAACTGAATGGTAGCAGCAACCACCCCTACCCTGCAGAGTTGCAAGAGATAGTATGCCTTGCTTTATGCGTCCCATGGAGTCATTTCATTCATGGATTCATTCATTCATTCATTTATTCAGCTGCCATTACTGAGTATCTCTGTGTGCAGCACAGTGCTAGGTATTGGGCACGCAGGGGTGAACAGGACACATGAGCTTAGCCCTGCATTCTGGTTATTCTGGTTATCCAGTGTTGACATGAATGAGTTGACTGACATGGTAGTCCCTGCCTGGTCCTTTTGTAACCCAATCAAAGAAGGGATGACCCTTCTAGGAAGGGGACTGTTTTCCTTCTGGTAATGTTGAGTGTTGTCTGGGGGAGATTCTCTTTTAGGCTAGGACTTAGAGAAGTAGCTCTGGTGGTGCAGTGGTTAAGGCATTCGGCTGCTAACCAAAAGGTCATAGGTTTGCACCCACCAGCATTGCGTGGGAGAAAGATGAGGCAATCTGCTTTTGTAAAGAGTTATAGCCTTGGAACCCCTATGGGACAGTTCTGCTTTGTCCTTTAGGGTTGCTGTGAGTTGGAATCCACTCGATGGCAGTGGAGGGGCTAGGGCTTAGGGAAATTCCTGGGTGCTGCAAATGGTTAACATGCTTGGCTGCTAACCAAAAGGTTGGGAGTTTGCATCTACCCAGAGGTGCCTTAAAGGAAGTCCTGGTGATCTGCTTCCAAAAAAATTAACCATTAACAGCCTATGGAGCCCAGCTCTGCTCTGACACACATGGGATCACCATGAGACGGAGTTGACTCAACAGTGGGGCTTGGGAGGGAGGTGGGACTGATGAGGCAGCTCCGGGCTTCGTCTGTGAGAACGGGAGGGGTGACTCATCGTCCTCCATCAAGAATGTCTTGGGCAAGCTGTCTGGCCCCTTCAGCTGGCAACCAGGGAAATATCCCTGCAGGAAAATCACCCCGTTTCCTCGGGATGTTGTCTTGGGATGTTTTTTCTTAGGCTGGCTTCCTTTACAAGCTGTAATTATGTTCCATTCCCACGCAAGTTCAGGGACACTTGGTGATCGTTGGAGCTGCCCTGGGCTGGGGCGTTAAAGGAGAGAAGGAAGCGAGGGTGCCTGTTGCCTAGAGTTTGGTTTGGAGACATTTACAGACTTCATCCCTGATGGGGCTTGGTTGCTCTTTCTTGTCTTTCCCAACCAGCCAGGCTGTTGAAGTCGCTAAACCCAGAATGATACTATCACAAAGGCAGATGACAACCCTCTAATCGGTGCAACCAAACTGCCTCCGGAGATGGCACTTCCCCTTTTGACGCTGACTGGTTATTTGGATTTGATATATTGCAGCGAAAACAGGAACTGTTTGTTTTAGGTGATAAGAAACCAACCTTTAAAAGACCAGGCTTCCTGGTCAGAGAGAGACTGATGAAACCCCCAGGCTAGGCCTCTACTCAGCCTTTGTGCTTGGAATTGAACTTACTTCTGTGGCTTCCAGCCAAACAATAAACAGGCCTACGAGGTGAATAATTACACCAGGTAGATACACTTCTTAGAATGATCAATCGTGGGAGATCAGAAGGGCAGTATTTGTACAAGGAGAAAGCTCAGAGGGCAGGCATGCATCGGAAAGGACACAGGGAGAAGGTAACTGCAGGGAGGAAGTGGGAAGAAAGCTGTTACATTGTGGGGATTGCAATCAATGTCATGAAGCAAAATGTGTACGGACTGTTGAATGGAAAATGAATTTGCTCTGTAAACTTTCACCCAAATCACAATTAAAAAAAGAAAAAAGAAACCAACATCAAGAAGGGATTGTCTTAGTAACCATGTGCTGGGACTCTGTGCCAGATACTGTGCAGATGCTTAAAAATGTCTCATCTAATAAGGAGCTCTGGTGGCATACTGCCTACGTCCAAGGCATTTGACTGCTAACCAGAAGATTGGCGGTTCAAACCCACCAGCCACTCCCTGCAAGGAAAACTGGGAAATCTATTTCCGTAAAGATTTACTGCCTCAGAAACCCAGTGGGGGTCTCTATGAGTCAGAATCAACTCGATGGCAGTGAGTTTGGTTTGAATCTTACAATAAGCCTGGAGATAGGTATGTATGTGTATTGGTTTCTTAGAGCTGCCATAACAAAATACCACAAATTGGTTGGATTATCAGAACAGAAATGTGCTTGTCTCACAGTCCAGGAGGCTAGTAGTCTGAATTCAGGACATCAGCCATGTTCGTGAAAGGCTTTAGGGGAAGGTCCTTTCTTGCTTCTCCCAGGTTCTGGTAGGCCCAGGTGTTCCATAGTTTACAGCTACAAGATAACTCTGCAGCTGTCCCATGGCCATCTTCCTTCTGTGTCTCTTCTCTTGTATAGGACACCACTCAGACGGGATTCAGACCCACCTTATGCTGTTAGAACTTCCTGTTAAT